GGAAGACATTGGAGATGTACAAATAGAAGCAACTCCAATGAAGTGTGACAATCAAGGATGTCTTGCATTTGTAAAGAATCCAAAGCATCATTCAAGGACCAAATACATTGACATTCAACATCACTTTATAAGAGAGAAGATTGAAATGAGAGTGATTGATATCAAGTATTGTGCAACGGAAGACATGCTTGCTGATTTGTTGACAAAGGCATTAGTAAAGGATAGACACCACATATTGACAAAGGCATCAGGCTTAAAAGGTATTTGACCAATAGCAAAGTGGGAGTGTTAAAATAAAAGTAGAAAATGCTACCTTGTATAAGATATTACCTTAGGTAAGTTACTAGTGGTCAAAGATTTGACTCTTGGTATATGATAAAGGCATCCAATGGATATAGGACGAAGTCATGGACCAAGAGTCAAAGTCAAAAAAGATAAAGTATTAACAAGGAAATATCCAAAGATTAAGTATGAGTCATTAGTGTATGTCATAGGATACCCTCGTAGTTCGTGAAATGCCATAGGATCCTAAGAGCATGTGTGTAAGACGTAAGAGTAATTAGTATTGGACATAGAATATTCTTGAGACTCGTGAGATGCCAAAAGGATCGTAGGGCCATGTGTGTAAAAGTCAAAGAGTGGATGTTGTCTTTTAGGACAGCAACTACTACCTATAAGTAATGGATGTTGGAAGTGAGAGATATCTTACTCCATACTCTCTTTGTATGCAACCTTGCTGATGCTAATTGTTGTGTCTTCTAAGTACTTATTTTCTTAATAGTCCTTGATCAAAAATAGTATCATTAGATAGGCAATGATATTGATATATATTATTAAAAAAGAGACTTGTCATTTTTTCTTTAAAAATTACCTAGTTGGATAGAATAAAATATTTTATTTTTATAAATCAATCTGCAACAACATAGATAGTATCGAATATAGTTGATGGCAATAAATCAATGATGAAATTCATTGATACTAAAGACTATAGTTGCTTTAGAATTAGCAATGATTGTACAAGTTTATATAGATAATGTTGAAAATTCTTGGATCTTAAAGAAATGTTACATAAGAAAACAAAGTCCTTCATGATCTTCCACATTTGAAACCACTAAAAATCTCAAGAAATAAGCTGTAATGTTTTGTTAAATCTAAAATATCCTATAGTTAGAAAATCATGATGAAATTGAAGAAGACAAAATAGCATCAATCTTTTTGGAATATATAAATGATCTTCAAAATATAAAGATCTTCCACAAACTTAAACTTGTTATTATCAAGGCATTTCTTAATATTACAAATTAATGAGTTCTTAGTTAATACTACATAAATGTTTTTAAGAAAATTTGAATCAAAAAACATAATTATAAAAATAGTACAAAGATAAAATTATTTTGATTTCAAAGGAGTGATGTATTGTTGATCAAATACTATTTTTTCAGCCTTTGGAATAAGATATGATGTCCTTGATAAAGTATCTAATAAACCTTATTATTTCTTTAATCAATATATAATCAAAAAATCAAAACAAGATAATAACATATTTCAATAAATTTGGCTGTAATTTAGAACCTAAGCTAATATAAAATATTCTAAGTTTTATGATCTATATATACAATTATAGGATGTGTAGCACCTTTTAACAAAAGATATTATTTTTGGAAAGAGTCTACAATTGTAAAAAAATCTTTATTATAAATATTTTAATTAATCTCTGCACCTAATTTTTTTAGAATAAAATGCAACTAGGTAGAACTTTTTAACTTTTCTATCTATAATAGTATAGCTTCTATTACTAAGTCAAAAACATCAATCTCCAAATAGAAGGCCTTCATGAAATTTGGATGCATTAAGATTGGAGCTATAATAAAAATTGCCTTCAAAACTTGAAAAGCCTTTTCTGCTTGAAGTCCTTATTATAATTTATCTTTGGATGTCAACCAAGTAAAAAAAACAACAACTTAGGAGTAATTTTTGATAAATATCTAATAGAAATTAGCAAATCCAAGGAATCATTGTACATTCCATATTGTCCTTAAAGTTTTTTACTTTTTTATAACTTAAACTTTCTTTAGGTCCATCAATAAACCTTCATTCGATATAATATTCAAGAAATTTTACTTAAGGTGATAAAACATGCAATCCTCTAATTTGGCATATAATCCTATATCTTGTAATTTTTGTAAGATTAATCTTACATATTCTTTATGTTCTTCACAAATCTTAGAGTAGATTAAGATATTATGAAGATAATAGATAAAAAACTTATTTAGGAATTTTCAAAAAATATCATTCATCAAATACTAGAATATAGTTGGAACATTTGTCAATTGAAAAGGTATGATATCATATTCAAATGGTCCATACTTTGTCCAAAATATTATTTTCTATTCATTTTCTTTTTTAATCTAATATTGTACTAGAAAATAGAATAATATGTAAAAATAAGGTAAAATATTATGAAAGTTTGAATTGTAATTAAAAAATAAATAAAAATAAAAATAAAAATAATAAAATAATAAATAAAATACTTATCTAATTTATTTAAGTTTATAGTTTAAATTTAGTGATTAAAGATAGAAGGTGTAGGATTTATTAGTAAGAAGTTTAGAGAGGCTTTGAAGTCAAAAGTATAGTATTTTGACTCCCAGACCATCCCATGTGGATAGATAAGATAAGTGACAAAAGACTTTATTTCTATTAATAGGAAGACATGTCTAATGGGCTTTGAGATATTAATTGGGACCACACTAGAGTTTGGGATCACTTTAGGGCGATCCATTCAAGGCAAGGTGGACCATTTGAGGGAAGACAACCTATTCGATGTGTAGAGGCTGGATTTGGAAAGCTTATATTTTGAATTAGAATTTGGATTAAAAAAATTTGTAATTTGGAGAGATAATGAAAGAATTATGGTTGTTTGAAGTTAGGATGTGTTTTGGATATCTATTGTTATTCTTTTAAGCACATAGAGAATTATAGGAAAACTTTGAAGAATCAAAAAGTGAAATAAGAAAGCTGACTCAAAGAGCTCCATTTTATGTAAAAACATTGATATATTCCAATTTAGAATAGTTGTTGAAGAGAGAGTTGTTTGAAGTTAGTGTTCAAAACTGGAATTTGTAAGTAAGTTGTTTTTAATAGAAGTTTTGGTTTTTTCCATATCTTGAGTTTTTGGATGATTTTTTGACTAAAAATTTCCAAAAATATAGATGAATATGTTTAAAAGTTGCATATATAAAATTCTTAGTAATTTAGCTTTGGATTTTTGAAATATGAAGGAATTAGTGCATAGGTGCCTAAAAATTGACATGTTTAGCACTTGCTAGAAATTAGGAAATATCCAAAGACCTATAAAGAATTTATAGATGATTTTTTGTGTGAAAATGGTCAAAGATATAAATTAACTTGTAGAGAATTTTGAATCCAACTAGACAATTAGATTAGAAGTTATTGAGTGATATATATATATATAGAAGGGATCTCTATAAGAATAGAAGTGATTTTAGGATATCTAGACACATCTTAGGTACTCTTGTATATCTTAGACTTATTTATTTGATGTAATTTTCTTCTATAAATCCTTATTTATATTTAATAAATATAAATAAGGCTAAGAATAAGCTATAAATCCTATTTATATTTAATAATCTTGCAACTTGTTTCAGTATTTAATAGGAGCCAGAGGCCCAACACTTTCTTGAGGGAATTCTCTCTACTATGACAATACTCTATTGAGATCTATTTTGGTGTAAATCTCAGCTTAATTGAATTGCTCTAAAAGCCCTAATATCAATGATAATGGATAATAATTTTTTACCATTATTTTATTGGGATTAAAATAATCCATATACATTTACAAAGATTCATTTTTTTTTTCTTAACAAAAAGTATTGAAGCACCTGCTAGAGATTTGAAATGCTAAATAAAGTTTTTTGTAAGATTTTTTTCAATATAATCCTTTAATGTTGAAAGCTCATTTTGTAATAGATTATAGATTGGACCAAATGGTGGTTAAGTCTTTTCTTAAAGATTGATTGAATAATTATACAATTAATATTCTGGCAATATGTCAACATTCTTTTTTTTGAAGACATCTTGAAATTCTTTATACTACTTTAAGATAGGTGCTAGCAAGCTTGTTTCTTCATAATCTAGAGTTATATAAATGAAAAATGGCATTTCTTTCTTAGCTATCTTCATAAAAGCCCTTGCTTCAAGAAATAAAGACTTTATTATTGATGACTTTTTGATAGGATTTGCCTCAAGGGATTCAATAGAAAATTCAACCTTATAAATCCTCCAAACTATAGATAGATTATATCTTTTCAACCTCAAAAGTCCTAAAATGATAGGATAGGATGGAGTTTTAATAATATTGAATATTATTTTATTACTAATGCTTTCATATGATATTTCTAACAATATTATCTCATAAGTAACATTATCTAAAGATAAAAGTTGACCATCTATTACTTCTACATGTACAAGTTTTAACTTCTATATTAGAGGAATTTTATGAAGTTTGAAAAATTCATCATCTAAAAAATAAGCAAATGCTCTTAAATCTAATAAGGCATTTATTTGAAGTTTTTGTGAGCCAAGAAATAAAAGTATAGTAAAACAACAAGTTGGGTAGAGAGAGGACCTTGATGAATTTGAGGTATTGGAATGTCTAGCTATACAATTCCTATTGTGGTTGGACCTCTTTGTTTTCTTAAATAATTGCACTTCTAGTCGTGGCTATATGTTGTTTCTTTGGATAGTTCCCAATTTTTTGGCCTTCTTCATAAATAAAATTATAAATAAAATTAATTGTGGATTTAATACCACTCACAATTAATTTTATTTATATTATATTTATTTATTTACTTTTGTATTTTTCTTGTTATTTAATTTTTCAATAAAAATTCATCCAAAATGAAACCTTCTTCTAACAATTTGTTCACATGTGAATGAGTTTCCATCTACGAATGAGAAATCATCCAATTCAATCAAGGTTCATCCACAATTTATCATTTATTCAAGTCCTAGCCTCATCCAAGTTGATTTAAATTCATGCAATATAATTTTATTCACTAAAACCTCAATGATATGAATTTTGTAAGTTGCCTACTTCTCCAGGTTGCTTAACTTTGTATTCCAGAGTGGAGTAGAGGGAAATCGGGGGACGGCCTTCGTTCTCCTTGCGTGCTGCTTCTCTGGTTGTTGGAAGAGCCACCGACTGCTTCCTTCGCTCTCTTCACGTACTTCAAATTCACACGAGTCGATGACCACCTCTACCACTTAACGGCCAGAAGGCAGATGACTTGACGTATGCCCAATCGCAATAGAATCAGTTGCAACTTTTGGTTCTAATTCAGATGCAGCCTTTGAATTCACAATTGTAGTTGCAGCTTCGAACTATTTTTAAGAACCTTCCATCGAGTTTACGCTTAGTCTTGATGACTGGTGCTTACTTCAATAGGTTCATGCTGGTCTACTTGAATTCCTTCAGATCGCACCTCCTCTGCTTATTTTCTCCCAATCACCATTCTCTAAACAGACTAGAACGTGTACTAATCACTCGTACTTGTTACATACTACCTGATGTGGTCAGTTGCTATCAAATGTGGTCACCTGCTATCACGACCCTTGGGCACTTAATCTGCAACAGCATTGAGGGAGCTCGGCAGCAGGAGAGAATAGCTAGAACCAAGGAAGTGTCGGAACGGCCACCAGCTTCCAATTCTGTGATCGATAGACTGAATGTAGCAATCTTTGAAGTAGTGATGTCCTTCCTTGTCACACGATGTCTCTTGCGCTCTCAGAATCGCATGTTAGTGAAATACCCTGGCCTCTTAGATTTAAGGCGGCCCTTGCAATATTTTATTGATACTGGACGTTTAGAAAGAGTCCGTTCTTGTTCCACAGGTGCTTCCTTCTCGCTCTGCTCCGATTGAGGATTCGAAGGGTTGAATAGGAGTGCGGTCCCAACGCTCCTCCTCCAGCTCACACGATCCTACTCTTTGGCTGCAGTTCCTAGTTCACTCCACCACGAGGCCCTCTAGATCCAAACAATTGAATCTTGTTGAAGTCGTTAGCTTCCCGGTGGTTGTTTTTTTTTCAAGTCCAGGTCCTGTGCTCGTGGCGGTGGTGTGTCTTTTAACTAAGAACCGGAATGGTTTTCCTATGGATTGATGTGAACAAGTGCAGAGGTCGTAGATATGCTCAACTGAGTCGTGCCGTTTTGATGATATGATTTTCATGTGTCGCAAGGCACCCTTCTGTTCGTTTCATTGCCAGGGCAGTCAGCGACCGTCGAAGAAGAATGGAGCCCGACAACAGACGAAGAAGAACGAGCACAACAACCAAGAGGGAAATGAAAACAAGAGCCGAATTAAGTCGACCACCAATCTAGAACAAATCCGCTACTCCAGTCTTGCAGGTGATGGACGTTTACTTTGACACTGAGCTCGCCGTATGAGTACACCAGAACATAGGAGCCCTTGATCGGACGCTGTCACCAAAAAGCAGCGCCACCTTGCAACTTCCCTTGCTAAATTCCTCACAACAAGGAGCTCCACCAACCAGAGCGGAGGAAGAACAAAACAAAAGAGGAAAAACCTTCGCGGCTTTAGTCACCACAAAAAACAAGTTGATTCTTCCTTCTTATGGCGCAGTACACTACACTGCACACCTACTAGTAGCGAACCGCCACAGACCACACATAGGGAAGGAGGGAACAAAAAAACAGAAGAGAACTTCCAACCGCAACTTTCCAAAATTGCGAAGCTCCACAGCAGCACACAACACGGCTACAAGAACAACCCGCTCCCAACCACCGATGACAACTAAGAAGCTAAAAAGACAACAAAAATCCTCAGACCACAACACATCGGAAAAATGGTGGAGCTCTATCCGAACACACATCAAAAAAAGAGAACGAAAAACTGAGGCCTCGGCCCCCCTTCGCCGGACCGCGGCTGCCTACTTCCGGAATTTTGGGATCTCACCCTTATTCCGAGAATTTCGGGCAGTTAAGGTTTCTTCCCCTTTTTCTTTCTCTTCTTCTTTTTTCTTTTCTTTTTCTCTTCTCTTTTTCTGTCCTTGCTCCTTTATCGTTTCTTCTTTGTTTTCTCTTCTTTGTTTTCTCTTCTTTCTCCTTCTTCTCTATTTTTATTTTATTTTATTTTCTTTTATTTTTAATTATTTCATAATTGACCGAATTGGTTCATATTTAGTTCCTAGCCTAATCACCCTTTTAATGACAAATTCTACTATATAAAAACATTACAATTTTATACTAGCTAATTTAAAGAGCAACTATTTATTTTGAAATTCTTTTTCTAAGAAACCCTTGTAGGGACCTAGTTTTGTATTAAAATCCTATTTTTACTATTTATCTCAAAATTTCTACCTTAATTCATTAGATTGGTGATTTTAAGCCCTATAAGTATCATCTCTGTACAAACTACAAGAAATTCAATTATGTGACTCCCACCTTGTCATGTTTTCCAAATTCCTCTATAAATGCTTTTAAAAAATCTTCAAAGTTGCTCAAGTTTAGAGATCTCTTCTCAAATAAAGAAGCAAACTAAGATAAGACTTGTCTTGTGAGCAAGATTTCAACTAAATCAACTTGCAACTCTATTACTACATAGCTCTCAAGTTGTAAAAAAATTACCAATCAAATTTGGTTAATAAATTCTCAAAACTTGGAATGTATTCCATCAATTTTTTTTAAAAGACTAATCCAAGGCTCCTTTAACCTATTGAATAAGTGAATTTTTTTATTGAGGTACAAGTGCCACTACCTCTTTGGATTTAGAAGCTTGAGAAAGTGACTACATTACAAGCTAAATTATTCCAAGTTTTGCATCATCATAAAATTTTGCAAAACATTCCTCAATTTCAATAGTTTTATGAGATAAAATATTTAGCATGTTTATAATAACATGTAACTTGGACTCAAGAGACTCAGCTATACTGATATCTGTACCTCCAACTATCCTGAAAGATAAAAATAGAATTTCTAAATAATACCAGTTTAAAAGATGGTACTCCCTTATTTCTTAAGTGCTTGAATATCTTCAAGAAGAGAAATAATCCACTCTCTATTAAAAAGGATCAAGCTCTAATATTAATAAGAAGGTAGTCTTAATAAATTGTCATGCATATATTATATAGAAGACCAAAAAAGAAGTTAAATAAAAAAGTTTCAACAAGAAAGCTAACAAGAATTTGATTAAGTCAAATGAGTATAAGATCAATACTAAGAGAGGTGAGCTAAAAATCTAAGAAATGTATTGTTGAAATTGAACATCCCTTCAATCTCAACTCTAATATATAGTAGGTATTATGAAGCTTTTTCAGAAGTTTCTATGTTGCTTGAAGATGAAATAACCCTAGAAAGCTTCTTAAGTAGTTTCCATATTTCTTAAAGATAAAACAATCCTAAGAAGCTTCTTGGACAACTTCTTTAATTATCTTAAATTTTTTTAGAATCTATTAGAATATTTTAAAAATCTTTTAGAACCTTTAAAATATTCTAAAAATATTTATTAAAATCTTTTATTGAAATATTTTAAGAATCTTCTAAAACTTCCTATCAAAATATTTAAAGAATCTTTCAAAACCTTCTAAAATTTGATGTAATATTTTAAAAATATTCCTAAAATCTTCTTGTTGGATGTTCATAACACTACTCAAGTTGACTTCTTAAGATACATTATTTCAAATGATGATCTTATGATTGATCCTAAAAAAGTTGAGACTATCAAAGATTGAAAGATTTTAAAACAATTAAAGATATAGAATATTCATTTAATTTTTTTTAATTATTATCAAATCTTTATGAAGAACTTTTTTTAAATTATGAATCTTCTTATATATTTGACATGTGAAAATAAACTAAAGTAGAGCAAAGAAGCTTAAGCATCTTTTGAAGCCTTGAAAAATATATTTATTTTTGCTCCAATCTTATATTGTATTAATTTTTTTAAGGTATTCTTTATGGAGATAGATACATCAAACTTTGATAAAGGTGTAGTTTTATCACAAATAGAAACAAATGATAAGTTCTACTTGATAGCTTTTAATTCTATAAAAAATTTAGCAACCAAGTTTATTTTTAAGACCCATGATAAAGAACTTCTTGTAATTGTGGATTTATTTCTAAAATGAGATCATTATTTAGAAGACACTTTTAATCTAATCATCATATATATGGATCATAAGAATCTCGAGAATTTCATATTGGCACATATTTTGAACCATTACTAAGCCTCTTTGAATAAGTTTTTACTAAGATTTGATTTCAAGACAACTTATTGAACCAAAAAACAAAAAGATTTGTACGACATCTTTTGTAAACATTCTTATCTTGTATCAAAAGAAAAAAAATATCTTTTGATTAATAAAAAATAATTTTTTTGAAGCTAGAGAATTTTTATCAATTATGTATATTATTATATTATAATTATTTATAGTATATAAAAATTAACTAAAATAGATATATTTATAAGTATTGATGTATATTAGAGATGTTAATAACTTCATATAAAGAGAATTGATGTAAAAAAATTTATTTTGAGGTTTACTTATATTGATTATAATATTTAAATTATATAGGATTTAGATATTTAGTATAAAATTTAAGGAGAAGATTGAGGCTCAAAGATGAAGATTCAAATTTCTAAAAAACTTATTTGAAAAGATGAAAGCAAGGTATGGATGGATGAAGGCAAAAGGTTAAGATCTTCATCTTTATTAATCCAAGGCTATGCCCGATAAGCATTCAACAGGCTATTTACAACCATAACAAGGATTTTGGCGACTTTGGAAGAGACATTTGAAAATCAAAAGTAAAGGTTGCAAGTTTTATGAATTGTATTACAATTTTTATGCAAATTTTAAAAGATTTGGAATTAAAGTAATAAAGTTATAGCCATTTGAAGTTAAGGTATCTTTTTAAGACATATTATTGCTCTTTCAAAGATAGAAGGAGTTTTATGATAGATTTTAGAAATCAAGAAGTGCAACTGCAAGGATGATTTTAAGGTCTAGAAATTTTGTTAGAAAATTTTTGTATTTGGAATTTATCTTAAGTAGTTATAGAGCATTGAAGATAGCACATGTAATTCAAAGGCAATAAGTTAGTCATTTTGTTGATAGTAATGGTTGGAGCCATATCTTGAGTTTTCAACTGAATATTTGACTCAAATTTTTCAAAAAATATGTATTATTAGATTAAAAAGCTAAATATCAAAGTTTTATGGTATTTAAGTATTTAATTTGTGAGATATGAAGAATATTAAATATAGGTGTATATATATAAAGGTTTGAAGCTATTGTTAGGATTTGGTAATATTTTAAGATTTGTAATGAATTTATTGTTGAAATTTGTTGTAGTAGTTATCAAAAGTACATCAGTACTTTATGTAAAATTTTGGTTTGTTTGGACTATTTAATTGTAAGATATGAATTCTTAAAGTTTGAGAAGAATTCATCTTAAGGATATACAAGGTTTTATAATATTTTTATCACATTTTTGATGACTTTTGATACTTAGGGCTTATTAATTGATATAATTTCCTTTATAGAAAAAAAAATTATATATAAACTTAGTTTTTTTTTAATCTAGAGGCTTGCTTGAGAAATTAGTGACAACCAAAAGCTTAGCACTTTTTTAAGGCAAATTGTTTCTATTACAATAATACTATCATATAATAAGACGACTATATGGTGACAATTAAAAACATGAATGTTATTATAGAAGAGCATAGTAGAAAGATGTAGTAGAAACATAAGAATAAATAATAGGAAGTTATTAAATAATTTTGTCTTAATGTTGCTTTTTAAAAAAGAGGCTTCTATTTACTTTGTAGGAACATAAATGCCTAAAATCAAAGTAAATGAAATAAGTAATTGATAAAGACATATTTAGAAGAAAGTTATCAATAGGCTCAAGTTATCAATAGGCTCAAATTACTAAATATTAATACCCAAAAAGGATTTGTTGTCAACCTCGGTTGAAATCAAATCCTGAGAGACAAAATTGTGCACCTATGGCAACTTTGGGGTTCTTTGGGAGATCAAAGAAAGGATTTTGATAGCAAACTTGCTATAAAAAAATAGAATGTTAATTTTATATTAATTAAATTAATATTCAGTTTTAGAAGAATTTTCAAAGTTAGTAAAATTCTTGGATGGATTAAATTTTAAAAAATAAAGTTATATTTACATAATTAAAAATCTCTTGAATTTTGTGATATGTATATAGATAAATTTTAGATAGAATATTGGTGTACTAGTTGTGAATGTATGTACAAGTTTTGAAGTCAATAAAATAGTTAGATTAAAGTATATAAAGATTTTTATGGGTTAAGGTCTCAGAAATTAGAGTTTAATAGTCAGTGAACATTTTTAAGATCTTTAGCAATTTATCAATTGGATTGAAGTGGATTTTTTTTGTAAAGAGACTAGACTTGATTTTCAACAATTTAGGTGAATTTTGGAAGCAATTTAATAATTCAAAAAGAAAATATTGATGCTCAAAATTCAACATTGAGATTGGAATAGGAAGCCAGCTAACACCCGAGCATAATTAAGGATTGATCTTCTATTTGGTAAGTTTGATCTTTTTCAAATTTTGTGTGCTTATTTCCAATTTAGTTATTAAGAGGTGTATAAATTCTTAAGTAAGATTAATGATATAATTAATAGATATTGAGGTTCTAAACTACCTTAAGATTAAATTAATTTATCTAGGGTTTAATTTAGATTTAAGATTTGTCTAGGATTTAAGATTTGTCTAGGATTTGGTTTAAGAATTAATTAAGATTTGACCTAGGATTTAGTTAAAATCCATTAAGATTTTGATTAGGACTAAAATAAGATTTGATTAAGATTTATTTAATATTTTTTAAATATTTCTTTTAGATTTCTTTTAGATTTCTTTAGAATTTCTT